AGGGGTGGAAAACGCGGATGAAGGAGAAAAAAAGGTAAAAAAAAGAACTAACTCACCTATCTCTCTCTTCTTTCCTCTGCGAAAATAAGCAAAACTGGTGAATGAGAATAAGCAACAATATGTAAAAGCTTTTCTGCCTTCTCATTTCGCGTCGTGCTAAAAGCAGTTGTTACCAAACGTTCAATTTTTTTTTTCCTCCCCAGAGCTTCCTTACTGTTTTTCTCAGCACTTTTTTTTTTAAATCATGGCATTCTTTGTTAAACTTGTTATATAATTCTAGAAGCTTAATTTTAAGTTAAAATTTACGGAAAATTCTATAAAGAAATTTGCGGAATTCAAGCGATTTCCTCTTTCCATTTTCTTCAGTAAAGTAATAGCGAAAACAGTAACAAATTGTTCAAACTGTTTCAATTTGATGTTGTTTTTTTTTTTTTTGGATGGAGCTATTAATTGAAATTTATTGCTTCGTTATTGATTTATTTCTGAAATTCGCCCAAACAGATGAGAATTTCTTGGCGGATGGGAGAATTTCGACGACAATAGATTGTAAATAAATGCGGGACGATATTGAGGAACGATTCGGGCACACGATTACGTAAATAGATGAATTGAAGAGCAGGTGGTCGAGCGGGGAAGATGCATTCCTGCGAGAGCAGAAACAGATCTCGCATAAATCCAATAATTAGCGCTAATTGTGCCGATAACTTCGGCCAACAATCGTATTTATAATAGGCTTTCCGTATTATAATAAAACGCGCGTTCGATTTTCAATCAGATTAACGATTAATGCAAATGCAAAACGCAAACGCAAAACGATTTGCATTTATATTATGTGACGATAAATTAACGAGAAAAAGCTCTAACTCTCTTTCTCTCTGTGGCATATGCAAATCATTTTCTGCGTGTTTCTTTCTCAACGTTTCGTTTTCTCGTCAATTTTCTAAAACCCTTCCTATTTCTATAGACAATTTCTTTTCGCTCCGACCATGAAATATTCAGACTGGCTCTGATAAATAAATCACGTTGTTTGGGGTGGTATGTGTGGATTCGAATCGCGTTTTTGGTCCAATCTCTTTTAATCTCGTAGGCCCACTTTGGCGAGGGCCGAAATGAAGATTTTTTTTCAAATGAAACAATCTCCCGGGTGGGCCCGAACGAAACGCGTGCATTATTCACGCGAATATTGCAACTCATTTTCGCTTTTACCTACAGGAGAAATTTGCGCCAAATAAACAGCAGCCAATTCAGCAGAGAAGCAGAAAGAAATGGAGATAACAGGGTTTTAATATTTAAAATGACAATTTGCGAACTGCTTCCGAATTAATCTAGAAACGAAGGTAAAAATGCGAAAAATAATCTGGATGAAATCTGTAAATATATAAATAATCGAATTGCAGCCAAATCCATAATAACACAGCAATGTTTGAATATACGTTGCTTTTCCCAAATATTCAACTTTCATATGCATATTGTGGATTCATTCTATCTACTATAGTTGATGAGAAAATCATTAAAAAATGATTTTGTTTTTGGCTGTCTAACCGAAACATTTTTTTTTCAATTTTAAACTTTGGCCCTCGATTTCGTACATACTTATTTAAGAATATAATTGCATAATCCAAAAGAATGATTCCTCTTTTGTTTGCTACTAAATTTATTAATTTTGGACAATTAATAAGAAAGTTATTAAACTTTAATGCTGATACTACGTTTATCGTGAATAGCAAATCCCCCCACTCGAGATTCTCTAAAATGACCGAAATTTTCGAATAATCTGGATGAAATCTGTAAATATGTATAATCAAATTACAGCCAAATCCATAAAACCACAAATATTCCCAAATATTCAACTTTCATATGCATATCTTGGATCCATTCTATCTACTATAGTTGATGAGAAAATCATTAAAAAATGATTTTGTTTTTGGCTGTCTAACCGAAACATTTTTTTTTCAATTTTAAACTTTGGCCCTCAATTTCGTACATACTTATTTAAAAATATAATTGAATAATCCAAAAGAATGATTCTTTCTCTTTCGTTTGCTACTAAATTTATTAATTTTTGATAATTAATAAGAAAATTATTAAACTTTAATGCTGATACTGCGTTTATCGCGAATTGCAAATCCCCCCCTCGAGATTCTCTAAAATGACTGAAATTTTCGAATAATCTGGATGAAATCTGTAAATATGTATAATCAAATTACAGCCAAATCCATAAAACCACAAATATTCCCAAATATTCAACTTTCATATGCATATCTTACATCCATTCTATCTACTATAGTTTCTGAGATAATCATTAAAATGTGATTTTGTTTTTGGCTGTCTAACCGAAACATTTTTTTTTCAATTTTAAACTTTGGCCCTCGATTTCGTACATACTTATTGAAGAATATAATTGCATAATCCAAAATAATGATTCTTCCTCTTTCGTTTGCTACTAAATTTATTAATTTTGGACAATTAATAAGAAAGTTATTAAACTTTAATGCTGATACTGCGTTTATCGCGAATTGCAAATCCCCCTCGAGATTCTCTAAAATGACCGAAATTTTCGAATAATCTAGATGAAATCTGTAAATATGTATAATCAAATTACAGCCATATCCATAAAACCACAAATATTCCCAAATATTCAACTTTCATATGAATATCTTGGATCCATTCTATCTACTATAGTTGATGAGATAATCATTAAAATGTGATTTTGTTTATGGCTAACCGAAATATTTTTTTTCAATTTTAAACTTTGGCCCTCGATTTTGTACTAACTTATTTAAAAATATAATTGAATAATCCAAAAGAATGATTCTTCCTCTTTCGTTTGTTACTAAACTTATTAATTTTGGACAATTAATAAGAAAGTTATTAAACTTTAATGCGGATAATGCGTTTATCGCGAATCGCAAATCCCTCCCCCTCAAGATTCTCTAAAATGACCAAAATTTTCGAATAATCTGGATGAAATCTGTAAATATGTATAATCAAATTACAGCCAAATCCATAAAACCACAAATATTCCCAAATATTCAACTTTCATATGCATATCTTGGATCCATTCTATCTACTATAGTTGATGAGATAATCATTAAAATGTGATTTTGTTTATGGCTAACCGAAATATTTTTTTCAATTTTAAACTTTGGCCCTCGATTTTGTACATACTTATTTAAAAATGTAATTGCATAATCCAAAAGAATGATTCTTCCTCTTTCGTTTAGTAGTAAATTTATTAATTTTGGACAATTAATAAGAAAATTATTAAACTTTAATGCTGATACTCGAAATTACAGCCAAATTTGTAATAACACAGCAATGTTTGAATATACGTTGCTTTTCCCAAGCATTCTGAGAAAATCATTGAAAAGTGAAAACACTTTTATTGAAATCGAATGACAATCATTCAATTAACATATGTATTTAATAAATAATTAAGTGAAATGTGAGAAAATATGCGACAGTTTAAGCTGCTGCTGGTACTACTCGAAAGCTCACTTAGCAAAAATTGTAAATAGACATGCAATTAATCAGGATTGTGAGGTATAAAGGCAATTAATTTCCTTGCAAGTCCAACAATACGATTTATGGAAAAACGCACTGGAAATTAATCACCCGCAGATGTATTTATTCGATAGAGACATCGTTATTATTGCTACGTATGAATATTGTAATCTTTCCGACATCCACGACGTGATTGAATAATCACCACATCTAATGCATTCATTTATTGCGTGCAGTAAAGTTTTCAGTTAGCAATTACTTATTACGGTCTTTCTTTTTATTTATTTTTTTCGTTGTTGTATAAAAATGGAATTGTCGTAACGGTCACCACGCACATGCACAAACTAATCTCTTCCGTTTACCCATTTACGTTACGTAATTAAACAAATGAAATCTATAAACTCGTTTTTTCTTTTGTTTTGTTTTTAATTTAAAATAATTTCAACGTTGTCGATGTTTTTTGTTACGTAATAATGAAAATATTGTATTTGTAATTTAATCGATATACCCTTGAATTATTTCTCGGCAAATACTGCAATTATTGCGATTGCACGGCTGCCTTCGTTTCAAATAATATTGATTTGCAATTAAATGTACGATGGAAAAGGTAATTATTCCAATAATATACCAATATATATTTATTAATTATTATTTGTATATGTTATAATTAACAGAACATACGTAGCAAGAAATAAACAATTTCTTTTCGTTATAAATCATTGGTTTTACAATGTAATTGCATAATAAAGATTGAGCCAGTTGCATAACAAGTGTTGGTTTTCTTATGTGGTATGTATTTAGATATTGCACAAGCCATGAATTACAAAGTAATTGGTAATTTAATTAATTGAATGAATTAAATAGAAATTGTTGCAAATCTCTGGAATGAGTTGCGCCATCTCATACGATTTGTCAGAAGCATAGCTACTAGTTGCGTAATGTGATAATAAACAGTAAGTTTTCTATAATTTTCAAGTTGTCAAGATGGAAAGTAGGAAAAAAGTGATTGTAACAAAATTTTGGAAATTTTTAAAAAATTGATTGAACTGGTGTCGTAATAGCTGCAAACCTTGAAATGGGTGCGTTATAATTCTTGGACTTTCATCTGTAAAACGAGTAAAAAACTAGTTTGTTTAAGGTAGATTTTGTTGATGGCTATCTAACCGAAACAATTTTTTTCAATTTTAAACTTTGACCCATGATTTTTTACATACTTATTTAAAAATATAATTGCATAATACAAAAGAATGATTCTTCCTCTTTCCATTGATACTAAATTCATTAATTTTGGACAATTAATAAGAAAGTTATTAAACTTTAATGCTGGTACTGCGTTTATCGCAAGTCCCCCCCACGAGATTCTCTAAAATGACCGAAAATTTCGATTTTCACCAGGAGACCAGGAGTAGCGAGGAGGTATCAGAATTCAAAAAAACGCGCGCTCGTTTCTGATTGGTTGTAGCCAGTACGTATGTGTGAGTGAATGAACTGTCATTGCTGTCACAATTTATCAACAAAGGGACTTTAATGCAATTTCTCTTAATTCTGCAATGTTCTAAATCAAAGTTAATGAAGGATGTGCTGCTCTGCTCCCTCGATACTACTATGGAAAACTTTTCATTGAACAATGCAATCCAGTTTCGGTAAATACCAATGCAACATATTAATCGTTGATCACTAAATCAATTAAACTTTAGGAAAGATGCAAGAGATGTTGGAGGTGACTATGAATAATACTACAAAGATCTTTACATCGATGGAACACACAGAAAATGAATATATGAAATTGCATTGATAGTTAATAGTCAAAAGGTAAATAGTAGAATTGTTAACAATCAATTCGTAAAACTTTTATTGTTTTAGTTGGAGCTACTAGCAGTTAAAAGACATGCACAGTTTACTTTTAATAGTGAACTAGAAAGTGGAAAGCATCAGTAACAATTTTCATTTGCAAATTATGTAAAGCATAAGCAGATTATGATGAATAATATTACTTCTTTAAAGAGGTGGATAATACAATGACCATGGATGAAGTGTTGCCTCCCCTATGATCCTTAGGCACAGTATAACATTTCTAAATGCAAGATGCTGTGAAAATACTGGAAAAATCAAAAAATGTAAATTTTCATTTTATCCATTGAGTGTGACTAAAACTTCATTATTTTAGGAGAACCCAATGGCATGTATCAGTGTGTTGTTGCCTCCTTTATGATCCTTGGACATTGGATAACATTTCTAAATGCCAGTTGCTGTGAAATTACTGGAAATTAAAAATATTAAGAAGAAAAATGTTAATTTCAATATATCAACTGTAGACAGGTACTAAAGTGTTTCTTTTTTTAGCAGGATCCAACTGTACCCTTGAATCCTCATACTGTGTGCAATATTATGAGTTATTTATGTAATTATATAAATAAATTTTATTGTTTCGAGTAATATCGAATTTTTATTTTAAATTCGTAACGAGTTACAGACGATTGAACTTTTGCTATTCTCCGATAGATGGCGCTGATTTGGATAATTAGAATGTTCATATCTTAAAAAATAATTAATATTAATAGTTAATGCTTGCTTTCCTATAATTGTAATGAACCAATCTTTATTTAAACAAATTAGTACGTTTTTCAAGAAATGGATTTTGAGCAGCGCCAAAATGCCTGAACTACAACCTTTGTTTTATTACTAACAGATGGCTCTAGCTGTCACAAAAAATGGACAATTTATTTTGCGCCTAAAGTGCAGGCAACCAAACAAACAAACTTTGATTAAAAAGTTTTCTTGAAAACTTTAAAACTCTTATCAAATTACGCAAGTAGGTCTTGTTCATCTTGTAAAAAAGACGTCTTTTATGACCATACAGATAATTTTCACTTTTCATCTTTATTATCTACTCTATAAAACATAAAATTACGTTGAAAGAAAAGATAATGTAATTATGGAACTTTCTGTTTATTTACGATATAATTTAAATAATGCATAAAAAGAATATTGTAATATTATTAAAATATAGAGACTAGTCAGTTTTATTAGATTCAATTTATATAATCTATATAATATGTTGTTTTGTATTGAATGAACAATTGTTATTATTTAACTAAGAAATCTTTGGGAACGGATTCTAGCAATTTCTTTGTTGCTTTTGTTGTGGCCTCTTCATTTGTTGATTCAATGGTGATTTTCACTTTGTAAGTGCTAAAATAATTCCAAATTAGACAGATTCTTCAACTTTTTAAACTCAATGTACCTGTTGAACAGTTCAGGGTATGATCCAAACATGACATCTGGAAATTCTTCAACCAGCCGATTAAGCACATCAAGTATAACCTGCTCGGTAACATTAAAGTACACTTTGTTCTTATAAAACTTGTTGTTGCTGCTGAACAGCTTCGGAGCCACCATGTCAAGTGATTTCTCTAGTAGCTGAGGTATTCCAGGGAATATGTACACATTTTTTATAGACACATTCGGATATCCCTTTCTCTCTCCTGGCTTCACATCACCGAAGTTTAACTTCGCTGATGCTGGTATAAAGCACAACTTCATTCCTGGAGCATCCAAATCAGTGGTGTTATAAAATTTTGAGCACACTTTGACTAGAGTAGGATGAGGCAGCAATTCCTCATTAAACGCTTTGGCTATGGCTAAAGAAGAAACAATTTGTTAACACAATAATGTCAGTTTTCAAGAATTTATCACCTGTAAAAGTTACATCATCATGTGTTGGCCCAATTCCTCCAGTTGTGATAACATAATCATACCTCTCAGAGAAGAGTTTAGTCTCATTGGCAATCTCGTCAATGTTATCTCCGATCACTGATATCTATAAAACTAATAATATGAAAACCTAAAGTTGTTAACCAATTCCGAGCACAACTTATAAAACTACCTTCTCAAGCTTCACACCCAAATTATGCAAGGTCTTTGCTACATAATTTGAGTTTGTGTCCAACACCTCTCCATTCAATATCTCATCACCAATTACTGAAAGATATACGAGCACAATATTAGTGTATAATCAAGCAACATGAAACCAAAACTAACCTATAACAGCAGCTGTTTTCACATTAGGTTTCTGTGTTTTGCTGCAAAGTAATCTTAGCAAGGGTGTGCGAAGCAGAAACGTCCTGTTTACACAAATTGGAGTCATCATTCAATCAGAATTTACTGTCTTCTTACTATGTTTTTATTATCATTTTAAAAGCAGTATCAAAGTGCCAATGCACAGCACTACAATATGTCAATCTGATAAAATATCAATGTTATTTAATAAAGATGTGCATATTACTAAATCATTGCAATTAAAAATACAAATACACTAATTCAATATTCTATTTCATTTTACTATACAGCAATTTATAAACTTCAATAATATAAAATCGATAAAGTTTTTAAACTTTTAAATACTTCCTAAATTCATTGAAAATCTGTAAGATGGCGATGCAAACAGATGAAAACACAGCATTGTATGAATACTTGCTACATTCCCCAAACATTCAGCTTTCATATGCATCTTTGGCATTCATTCTATCTATTATAGTTTCTGAGAAAATCAATGAAATGTAAAAAGAAAACACTTTCGAATATCAAATTTCAATCATTTTTACTGAAAAATCTAAAATGTGAAAACACTGCTTTTTCGAGTGTTAACTTAAAATTTAAACGTGTATTATAGCCAAACGGAAAATCACTAAAATGTGGAAACACTGCATTTTCAAGCGTTCATTTTGAACACTAATTACAGCCAAATGGATGAAACCTCAGCAAATCACTAATATATGAAGACATTTTTCATGCGTTAATTGTTCATTTTTGAACTTCATTTACAGCCAAAACGGATGAAACCACAGCNCTATTATAGTTCCTGAGAAAATCACTAAAATGTGAAAACACTGCTTTTTCGAGTGTTAACTTCAACTTTAAACGCGTCACTTTAACATTGATCCATAACTGCGAGAAATCACTAAAATGTGAAAACACTGCTTTTTCGAGTGTTAACTTCAATTTAAACGCGTATTACAGCCAAACGGATGAAAACACAGCAATGTATGAATACTTGCTACATTTCCTAAACATTCAGCTTTCATATGCATTTTTTGGATCTCATTCTAATCTTTATAGTTTTTGAGAAA